TTCTTGTATTTTAAGTGTTATGAGGCAATTTGTGAATCTACAAGTACATAACTCATTGTCACGCTGAACGTGGCTCAAATATGTTGGACACAAGATTAGTGGTGTTGGACATGAGGAGAAACAATAGTTTCTAATTTAGACACATCGAACATAATTTGAATGACGTCAAATGTGTGTGTAAAGATGTTTTATTTTCCTAATTATATTACACTTATATATAGTATGGTACTTGTATCTAAGTGATGTGAATACTAAAATCCTAGGTATTCTAATTGTTTTTCGCTGCTAGTAATTAATTCCGTTAGATGTAGGATTGTGACGAGTCATTGAAAATCAATTTTGTAAGATTGAACTAGGTCTATAACTTATATTTTAAGATGATATTAGAACTACATTCTAATGATTATTAATTATTATTAGATCTATCGTGTCATTCATTATTAAATTGTTATTAAATCACATGCAAATGTTCAATTTTTCAAATTTTATATTTGAAATATCCAAATTTCAACGTGAAAGATATGTTAAAGATCATATATTGTTTAGAAATAAAGTCATAATATTATATACTAAAATAATTAGATTCAACATAATTAATCAATAATTAAATTATTTAGACATGGAATTAAGGGTTTAGTTTTTGACAAGGGGATATAAAAAAAATACCTTATTAAATTATATACAATTTATTCGATAAATTTTGTCTACAAAAAATTATTCTCTAACTATGTCTCGAGATATTTTTGGTGAAAAAAAAAACTACACTGCAAATTATACAAACCGGTTCATGAGTTGTGACCACATAAGGGTATATCCAGTTTTGTACGAAAAATAATGCTCTTTTTGTCAAAACTCTTGCTTGCAAGGCAATTATTCCAAGTTTCCAACTGTTGCCTGTTGGTGTTAATCTCTTCATGGATGCTTGTTTATAAGTTGTTGCATCATCTCTCTCTGTATACATCCCATCTGAAGCATATTCTCCTTGACGTTGCCATCAAGAAAGCACCTATTGCCTCTTGCATTCACCTATGCCCAACTTTTTCATTAATTTTCAATAATGAGTATACTTAATGTCCTATTCATTTTCATAAAGGACTCTAAAATATATAGTTACCAGTGCGTGTAACCCGTGACCAACCTAAAATTTTAGGTAATGAAGTGAATATTTATAATGTTAATTAATATTTTAGTTATATATTATCAATGGAAAAAAAGTATTTTGTATTTTGTTAATGTTTTAAAATGTGAAAATTATAAAGTGTATTTGTTGTACATATAAAAATATATATAGTTATAAACATTTAAATTAAAAGTTGAGAGAAAATTTTTATATTTCTTTAAAAAAATATTAAATATAATTAAACGTGTTTAAAATAACATAATTAGATTTAGTAAGATAATAATAATAAAATTAGAAAGAATTCTCTTTCATTCAGAGAGAATAAAAACACTAAGCATGTTTAAAATAATAATGTTTACTATTTAAGCTCAATAATTTAATGTGCAAGCAAATATGAATAAATAGAGTGAATTGATATACATCATCTTTGGGGAAAAAGCTTTTTATTTAAAAATTAAAAATGTTATTTATCTTTTTTAAATTATTATTTCATTTTTTTTATTATGTTTAAATATTTTCTAATTATTTTTCTTATATATCTTTAGAAGACTCTGATTATATTTTCAATCGCGCACATATTACTTCTATAACACATTTTTTTACCTATGATATAAAAAGCATGTCAATCTTACTTGACTTGAATATACATGTTTTATGAATGTATTTATGTAAGAAACCAAATATTATGTTTAATTTTTTTCAACAATTTCAATGCTTTCTTTCTTCATACGTTGTTTGTTTTTAACCTATTATTTTCCTCGTCACACATTTTTTATTTTCTTCTTTGTTTGTTTATCTTTGTTCTCTCTTCATGCTGTTCACACTCCAATACTTTGTTTCTTTCTTAATTTTTCTTGACATTTAATTTTATTTTCTTGCACTTTTTTCTTTCTTATAGTCTGTTGCATTAACCTGCACCCAACTTTTTCATTAATCTCCAATAATGAGTATACTTAATGTCCTATTCATTTTATTCAAGGACTCCAAAATATATAGTTGTATCACCAAAGTTATTTATAGTACAAAAATGCCGCCACAAATCCACTTTGAAAATAATTTATCTCGCAGAAAAAGTTTGGCTGCAAAAGAAGAAAAGTTCTTAAAAGTGGAATATATTCCTTGGGATAAAAGTTTGTCTTCAACATGAATATGTTTCGGTTCGACCAATGTGAAAATTTCCGTTCAAAACTCTAAAATTTTATGTTTTTCCGATTGTATAATTTAAATCATCATCAGATTTATATTTTTACAACATTAAATATATTTCTTTTTTTATTAATTTATATAAATATAATGATTTATAAAAATATGTTAAACATTAAATTTGTTTTGCATTTTTAAAACATTAAATATGTTTTCTTTTGTTTATAAAATAATAGAATTCAGAAAAAAAAAGTTATAGAAAATAATATTATTATTCTTTTTGTTTTAAATTATTTTCGAAAAAAGTAACAGTTAGAGAAGTTGCATGAGATTGAATCTCGCATAAAAAATAGTATTTAATTTGTTGCACTATATTTTAAATTATTTTCAAAAATAAGTGACTGTTAGAGAAGTTGAATGAGATTGAGTTCTTTTTTGCAGAAAAATTAGTATTTTAGTTTGCCGTTTCTAAAATAAATAAATTTCATGTAAGTCAAAATATTTTTTTTTTAAATAATTATAATTTATGGTCACTAGTGTTAGTCTAGTGGTTGGGTGGGGAGGAATTCGAGTAGTTAGAAACATGAGGATCTAGGTTCAATTCTCATTACGACCATTTTTATAATCTTTCCTATCTTTAAAAAAATTATAATCTATAATAAATAAATATTTTTTAGTATTACACTATATTATAATTAAAATTTATAATGAATAATTTTTTTTAATAAATAGATTATGTTTTTATGTATAATAAATAATTTATATTATAATTATTGTACTTATTTATATTAAAAATAAAATATTAAATTCAATTAAAAAATTTAAAATCTCTTATCATATTTTAGTTAAAAAAGTAAAATAAATATTTTTTTATTAAATAATAGAGTCTAAAAAAATATTTTTGTTCAAAATATTTATTATAATATTTCTATATCACTCAGTCACTTTTTCTATATATATACAAATTTTTTTAAAAATTCTCTCAATTTTAACATTTTTAAAATTTATTTTTAGTTTTATATTAAATTTAGATATTATAAGAAATTAATTTGTATTTTTATATAAATATTTTATTATAAATATAAAATAATATATCCTAAATGTTAAAAATATATATTTTTTAATTTAATTATAATATAATTTAAATATTAGAATATTTATATGTATCTATACTTATATATAAATGAGTTGTATGATTTATAATATTTCTTAGTTTCTATAATTTTTAGATAATTTTATTTTTAAATTTTTAAATAATAAAAAATAATATTAAAAATTAACTAATCATGTAATTACTGAAATAAGTTAAATATATCTCATAATTCAAAATTTTAACTACCTTTTAATTTTAATTTTTATTATATTTTAAAATTTTACAATAAAAAATATTTACTGTAACTACCTTTTGATTTTCGTTTTTATCGAATATTTTTAATCCTTTGACACACTTCATAATTTTAAAATATACTCAATCTCAAAAAAAAAAAAAAAATCATTCACTTTTATGTATAATTACCTAATTTTAAATCTTAATATTTTTTTTTATATTACAATCATCTTCTTCCAAAATTCTTAAAATAAATATAGAGATATAAAATGTTTATTTTTCTTGCTAATTTATTATAAATTATCTATATTATTAATAAAAAAAATATGATCTCATTTGATGTACATGTTTTTTTAATAGATAATTTTATTTTAAAAATTATCTCTTCATTTATTTTTTATTTTTTCTCAATTTTTTCAAAAATTACTTTTATAATTACATCTATAAAAATTATTTTTATAACTTACTTTTAATTTTATTTTTAAAAAATTTAATAACGAAGTACTTTTATTATGTTAGTAATTATATAAAATAAATGTTTATAATGTAAAATACTAGTTTCTTAAAATTCTTATTGTTAACTTTATAAAAAACTATCATTTAATATATTTTTTTAATTTATATATAAAAGATAAAATTTGATAAATTCAATTATTTTTAGAATTATTTAATTATATAAAAAAAAATATGATTCAATAATAATTTAAATTGAATTTCGGTGAAAGTAGTATCCATAAAGTCTAACATTTCAACTATGATATGATGATTATAATTCTAATTTTAATATATATATATATATAAACTGAATTTTGATTTTGAATTATAATTTTTAATCTATTATCATAAAATATATTATTTGTGATTAGAAAAAAATATTTTTAATCTATTTATCATATACTATTTACTAATACAAAATATTTATTCTTTTTATCTAGTTGATATTTAATATTTTTGATTTGATTACATTTTATTTTTAACTGAATTCTAGCCATCAGTTGGTTATCGTATGTAATGCACCAACTCCATACTTATCTGAAATTAAATAACACCATGTATACAGAACAAAAGTCATTCCAAAGTCAGCTTAAGAAATTAACTATAATAAATTAGACTAATTATAAAAACCATAAGTATTAACGATTTTTAAACATATTAATAAGTTTATACACTTTAATAATAATAACCCTAAAAATTATACAAACATTTTTTTGATTAGTTTAATATACTTTAATAATAATAACCCTAAAAATTATACAAACATTTTTTTGATTAGTTTAATATACTTTAATAATAATAACCCTAAAAATTATACAAACATTTTTTAATTAGTTTAATATACACAAACTTTATATTAAGGGTTAGATTAATAATAAATTCGTGCTTAGAGATTCAGATATATATTTTTAATCAATAGTTTGATAAATTACTGTGATGATAAAGGATATAAGGAAAGAGTTGAACATTTGGGGTGGGTCATTGAGTTAGAGGAACTGCAAGAGTGTGTGCGTGACAAACTAAACTAGGGCTACGAACAACCAACCCCGATTTTCACGCAAACTTCTGATTTTGCTCTTTTAGATCTACAATTTCCACTGCAATCATTTTCAAATCAACCTACAATTTTCATTCTCTTTTTAATTTAATTTTAATGTCTTATCTGTCTCCTTCTAATCCGAGTGTGTATTTCTGAAACACTTATCCGATACGGAGCTGCAAGAGTGAAAGCACATAGCAGAGATTCAGATTTCCCTCTTAGCATGCCAGAGCAATAATGGGTTCTGGAAATATACCACCTTCTTCTTCCGGTTCCGATATGTCTATCTCCGGTAAGTTTTTTTTAATTCTCTGCTATGATTTTTCTTCTTAATCGCCGTTTTACCTTATTGTTACCGTATTAGATTTTTATTACTATTAGTTACTGTTGTTCCCCGTTTTTATGAGGCGAATTTGTTATGGATTCCCTGGGCTCAGATTTTGGATCTGTGGATTTATTTGTGTTTTATTTGGTGATCGTGTACGGTGGAAGATCGGAAAGCATCCACTTTCCACTTTTTTAGTTTTTAGTGTCTCAGTGTTAATTTGGGGCTAGGGGGTAATTTTTTAAAGAGAGGACGATGGGGAGGTGAGTGATCATTGACTTCTGATGTGAGATTGTGAGGGAATTTGTTATCGATGAGAGATGATTTATAAAGTGTTTTTTTATGAATAGGGGATTAAAAAGTAAAAAATAAATAAAATGAATTGACATACTTACTGTTCTAGAATCTGTATATACAGATTCGCTAGTGGAGAATTGAATCGACCTTTGTGTTTTTATTGGGCGGCAGAGTGGCTGCAGGTGTTTTCATCTGGAAATATTGAATTGAACCTATTTTGCAAACCTGGCCTGCATGCTCTTGTGTTTTAAATTCTCCAAACAAATAATTGCTGCTAAGTTTTTACGATATCCCATATGCTGATTAATAAGTCTTTGTTTTGTAGAGCTTCGTGAGAGGCATGAAGGGGAGCTGGAAAATTTAACGCTAACCACACAACCCTTCAAAACACTGAAATTCTTCACATTGGCTGTTATTCAATACGTGAAGAATACAGCATTATATATATTGGCAAAAGGTGGGTGGCTTATGCTTTTCAGTGTTGCGGTTGGGACTCTTGGCATAGTGCTGATGACCCTTGGTTGCCTCCATGAGAAGGTATTTTGTGCATTCAGTCAGTCACATATGCATGATAGTTCTGGATCAAAGAACTCCATTTATATTTCGTTTTTGGCTATTATATGCAATATATTACACTGGTAGCATGTATCCATAAATACAAGCTCTCTGAAATAAACTGTAAAAGCAGAAAACTTGTATTGTAACAACCCTAACTGTTTATATTAATATTTGACGTTATTTGGCGAAGACTATGCTAATTTTAATCAAATTTCTTTTGACTCTGGAAACTATATGAAAGATCATTTTTTTTTTCTAATTTCAATTTCAATCATAATACACACACATGTTAAGTGGACCTTCATTTTTTAGGTAGTTATTTTGTTCATTTTTGTTTAGATACTTACTTGGGCTCTATAAATGCTTGTTCTTTTTGCAGCATATTGAGGAGCTTCTTGAATATTTTCGCTTTGGACTTTGGTGGGTGGCCCTTGGTGTTGCTTCTTCAATTGGTCTTGGTAAGCAAAATAACTTGTCCTCATAGTCAGATGATGTTTCCTGATTATGTAATAGATGACTGCTTGATTACCATGATTGATCTTCTGGGTAGCTTGTATGATTTAAACTTAAAAGAAAAGCAATTACTTGAAACATACAGATTTAACACTTGTAATTTTAAGGGCTTATGATCCTTTTGCCATCATCTTGATTATCTTCTATGTTGTTCATGAGTTTGCATTTTCCCTATTATATATCTATATTGGCAAATTATTCTTTTATCCTTTTATTTTGTTCAGGATCTGGTTTGCACACATTTGTCCTATATTTGGGTCCCCACATTGCATTTTTTACAATAAAAGCAGTTCAATGTGGCCGAGTTGATTTGAAAAGTGCTCCATATGATACAATACAATTAAAAAGAGGTCCTTCTTGGCTTGATAAAGACTGTTCTGAGTTTGGACCGCCATTAATACATGGTTCACAGGTTCCACTTAGCAGCATTTTGCCTCAAGTTCAGGTGGAGGCTATTCTATGGGGTCTAGGAACAGCTATAGGGGAGCTTCCTCCTTACTTTATCTCCAGGGCAGGTACAATGTGTCTCCTTTTATATCATGTGTCGTCCCTTATTCTAACTCATTGTTAATTAAGTTGATATAATAGTCTGATTTTAATCCTTTACTACTATTGAGAAAAATGTTTACCATATTCTAAGTAGTATTTACTATCTGTATTTGGCTTGTGGTTTTTCTTGCTTCATTAATAGGATGGGGTGAAGCTCTGAAACTTTTTTATTTTGCTAATCCTTTAAAAGTAGAAAAGAAATGTGCATAGTTTCCAGGCAATAAACTGATTCTGACTATTATTAGTTAAATGTCATTGATGTTTCTCGAAAGCAAAGATCAATCCCAGCTTTTGAATATATATATATATCCCAACTTTTGAATATATATATATATATA